TCGATGCCGATTTCACTTGGCCCAGCAGGGGGAGCCCTCGGGCTTTGTTTTCCTCCCTTCTCTCAAGGTGCGCTTGACCTCTGCTGGAAAATTAGAGGAAGACACTTTCTGGAACTTTGGTATGGTCAGGGACCCCGTATCAATCCAAACATGGGAGAGGCAGCTGTGGTAAAAGAGTAAAATATGTTTGGGCAAGAAAATAAAACTGGGCAAGCATTTTGACACATGGTACCTGGGACTTTGGCTCCGCTGGAGGGAAACAATAAGGGCAGCAAAGTAGGTTGATTAGTTATTGCTCAGCCTCCACTGACTTCTACTATTTCGGGATGCTGGGTCTTCCAATTCTTCAAGAAAAACCTGCACTCTTATGTTGGTGTGAGATGTCTCCCACTTTTTCGATGTTGTAAATTAGTTTAAAAATTTCCAAACTGTTCCAAGAAAATAAAATACAATTAGGAGCTGGACTTAGCCTGCTCAGTGGAAGCCAAATCAAAGGGGGTGAGAACCTGATGATAAATGCCTAGATCTTCCTTCAGCTGCAGCTGCTGCTGGTCAAGTGTGGGCACTGCTGTGGCTGGGATCTTAAATATGCCCCAAAGGCTCGTGTGCTGAAGACTTGGTCCCCGGATGGTGGTGCCCTTGGAGGTGGCAGGAGTAGAAACTGTAGGACTTAGGTCATTGGGGGTGTGCCCTGAAAGGGTAAATCTTCTCCCCAGGTCCCTGTGTCCTTTGTCTCTCTTCTTCTTCCCCTCCCTCTCCTCATTTTGCTTCTTGTTTTTCCTCACCGCCATGATGACATCCTGCTTCACCATGGGCCTCAGAGCAATGGAGCCCACTGAGCATGAGCTGAAATCTGTAAAACCATGGGCCAAAAGTGGATTTTCTCAGATATTTTGTCATAGTGATGAAAAATGACTCCCACAGACGCCATGCTTCCCGTGGTGCGTGCCCACGCGATTGGGAGCCCGTCTCAGCTCCGCCCGGGCTGCAACCTCGCGCCTTATGTAGCGAGTTCTCAGACATGGGTTCTGCCTTCGTGGTCGGCTCCTTCTGTGCCCCCCCCCCCCAGTTCTCTTCAAATTGTGTTGCACAAGAATGACATCCCCGGGGAGTTCTGCATCACACATGGTACGAGCGGAAGACGCTTAAATCCTGTGGCCCTCAGGATTTTAAAATCTAGAGAAAATAAATGGAAAGCCCAGTCCACAGAAGCATACTGAATTAGAACGTGCCAATGCTGCCCTCCACCAGGGAGGGTGACCGAGAGGGATGGGCTCTCCTGGCATATGCGCTCCGAACCTCTTTACTCTCCTACATGGGAACAAGTATTTGTTTCGCATTCCCCAGGGCAATTAATCCAATGATATTGTGTCAAAAATACTGAAAATGGGGGGAAAGCAATGCGGAGCGACCCCACTAAACCAGAAGCAATCTACATTAGATCTTAACCTCCACCACCCATCTCCACCCCACGGGGCCTCACACCAGCTGTGGAGCTTCTGTCACCACGTGGCCGGGGTTCCCAGAGAAGAGAAAACCAACGCCCCTCCCCGCCACTCCCACTGACCTAGATCATTACCCACCACATTCTTCTTCTCAGCCACAGTCTCAGGGTTCATATTATTTTATTATTTATGTTGATTGGTCAGTGTTGGCTTACAGATTCCCCCAGAGCAAGAGGTGGGCCAAGAGTGATGCAATGGTAGGCCAGTTCACCAAAGGAAAATCCGAATGGGGCCATTAGAGATCTGGGGAGTCAAAACAACAACCAAGCAAGTGAACAATACAGTAACAGCACAGAACAACAGAACTATGAGAAACCCCTGGATTTCATTCAAGCTTGGGAAATTCAGAAATGCAGGGGAGCAAGTGAGGAGGAGGGCAAGTATGGCAAAATTTGTGGGCTGGAGTCAGGGTAGCAGCTGCAGATCTGGACCTGGAAACCTGGTGTTGTGTTAGCATTTCCACATAGACTCAGATATCCTCAGAAGGAGCTGAGGAACCAGGCTGGGTGGACTCTTCTCCCTCAGTCCATGGTCCTGTAGGACCTTGAGGTTGGCCACTCCAGCCTCTTTCCTGCCTTAGGGCATTTCTTCTCTGCAGACATGATAGGGGAACTTCCTTTTCTTCTATCTGGTTCTTATGTCTATGTGCTATGGCTTCTGAATGCAACTTCCTTCCCACTTACTCATCTCTCCTGTGTTCCTGCTTGAGTTAGAGAATGGGATCTTTCCCAGGGCAGGGCGCTGACCCTCCAACCTACGGATGCCCCTGTCCTCCCTGCTACTGGCTGGGGCAATAGCCAGAGGGTAGGGAGGACAGGGAGGGTGGGTTTTTCCTGCTGGCATCCACCTACCTCAGCCTCCCAAGTGCTGGGATCACAGGTGTGTGCCACCATGGCCGGCTTCCCCACGGCATTTTTGAGTTTGGGGCCTTCTCTGAATTTCCACCCTTTTTTAGAATTTGGACTGAAACATCTTCTGTCTCTTTATTAGCCTTCCCAGGGTTTTAAGGTTTAATGTCATCCAAACATTGTCACATAAAGACCCAGAATAATGTTTGACCAAATGGGCAACCCTGTGGCCCAAACAGACATCTAAGTTGCTGAGGTTACACCCTGTGTCTCGTGGGAGGTGAATCTGACACCTGGTCCAAAGTCTCTGGAGCTGGTTTGCACCCCATTTCCGGTTAAGCTTATGCCCTTTGGGATATTTCTCAGGCTCCTGACTTCAGATACCCTCTGTCTGGTGGTGACTGTAGGCTCATATGTCCAGCCAGAACTTTCTCTTAAACTCCAGATCCACATACCTCACTTCCTCTCCTTTTATGCATCTAATATATCTGACCCAACATGTCCCAAGCTGAGCTTCAATTCTCTTAAAAATTTTCTTTCTTAGTTCGATCCCCGGTACAAAAAAAATTCTCTTTCAGTCTTTCCCTTCTCTGGTAGTGGCAGCTTGAAGCTTGAAACTGCTCAGAACCAAAACTTCAGCTTCATCCTAACTTTCTCTTTCTCTTCCTACTTGTATCTGATCTGTCAAAGAACATTGTGAATTCCTTCTCTTCCCAGCACCTCACCAGTACACTGAGACCCCGGCACCCCCATTGCCCATCCCCAGCACTGAGATAACTCTGGAAGGGTCCACGTGAAAGCAAATCATTCCCCATCCTGTATCTGTTCAAGAGCTGTTTTTACAGCTCACTCAGTGTGAGGTGTGACCATTAACCTCAGGGGCTGAACATTTGGTCAAACATTGTTGAATAAGATTAACATTTGAATCAGTGAACTTTGAGTTTGCCCTCCCCCATGTGAGTAGACCTCAACCAATCAGCTGAAGGACTGAACAGACAGCAAAGCTGGCCCTCCTGTGAGTAAGCAGAACGCCCTTCTCTGAAAATCTTCAGTCTGAGCATTAGTTTCATCCTACCTTTGGGCTTGAACTAGAACATCGGCGCTTCCTGGCTCCCAGCCTGCCACCTTGTGGCCTGAGGCTATACCAGCGACTGCTGGGTTCCAGCTTGCCGACTGCAGATCTTGAGACTTGTCAGCCTCCATAGTTGTGCGAGCCGATTCTTTATACAGTAATTCTCCCCTTCTCTGAAGGAGATACACGCCAAGACCCCCATGGGTGCCTGAAACCACAGATAGTACTGAAGCTCATATCTGTGGGGAGAACTTTCACCTTTTCACTTAAAGGAAGCACTTCATGGCTTCTCTTTGGCAAATCTACTTTGTCAACATGATTACTCGGTGCTTTGGCACCACTATTAATGAAAACAAAGGTTATATTTGTAGGAAAATGGATGCAACTTGACACCTTAATGTTAAGTGAAATAAATTGGACACACAAGCTTAAATATTACATGATTTCTCTTATATGGAAAACCTGAAATATAAGTTGTAGAGCAAAATAAAAGATAATAGAAACCAAGGAGCTAGATGGAGGGAGAGGAGGGGAAGGGGATGAAAAAAAATAAGATGTGTTATGTCCATGTAGCAGCTCCCCACAATGAAGGCATCATTATGTACTGCGAACATGGACTAATTAAAAACACAAGCACTGAAATACAGTGCAAAGTGACCTGGCCACTGAGAAGCTCACTGACTGACTAATGAATACGTATCGTACATAGCACGGACACCCTGGACAGAGGGATGATTCACTTCCTCGGTGGGGCCTACGGGGCAGCACCAGACTTCATCACACTCCTCGGAATGGTGTGAAACTGAAACTCACAGATGGCTGATGTCTAGAATTTTCCATTACTCTTCTTGGGTGATGATTGACCACAGGTAACTGGAACCTGAGAAGGCGAAAACATGGACAAGGGGAGCGTCGGTAAATAAATGCACACAGAGATGCCCTGTGGGTCCTTTTCTCTGGTGAGCCCTGATCAGCGCACTCCTGCAAAAGCCTCCAAATCTGTGTGACCTGGCCCTGGTACCTGGTGCCCCGCCCTTCTTCCCCTTTCCCAGCAGTCCCTGCTCTTCTGCCTGTCACCCGGCTGCTGCCCAGTCCCAGGACGTGGTCCCTCCGTGGGACCCTACAAGGCTCCTGCCCTTGCAAGGGCCGCTTGTCTAGTACCTGCAGCACTCACTGTCTCCCTCTCTTCTACCTTTGCTTGAGTGCCACCTTCCACAGGCGGCCTTTCCCAGCGGCATGTTAGGAAACACCAGTCCTCTTCCGCCTGCCTCTCTACTTTCCCCCTAGGGTATCTCATGCTCTGGGAGAGGGAACATTTAAATTCCCATATTAAACGTCCATCTCCCCACCAGAGCTTTTGACTCACTCTCCCATCACGAGCTTGCCTTTTGAAGCATCTGCACCTTCTACAACAGGGCCTGGCACATAGTAGGCACCCACAAAACATTAAGGGAAGAGAGAGTCCTCGGCACCAGGCTCCTGAGTGTGTCACACACCTGAACTCCTTTAATTCCCATAAGCATCTCTAGAATTATCTCTGCTTTCCAGATGAGCCAGCTGAGGCACAGGGAGTTCGAGCAACATTCGTGAGGTTGCTTAGCTTGAGGGTGAAGGGGCTGGGTTCTCACTCTGTGTTCTTCATACCTGCAGGTCTCCAGCCTGGTCTGGACATCAATGCCAGGGCTACGGTCCTCCTGGGACAAGGACAACCATGGGATCAGAGACCCCAGGGGTCCCTGATGGGGATCATATCTCTCATGAATGAAGGGGATGAAGTCATAACCCCCTGAGGTATTTGTGGCTGAGACCCTGCCTTCCCTCCTGTTGGGGGAGACCCCTGCCTGCGCTCAGCCTGGGCTCCCTTCATCACACCTCCCTTCATGGAAGGGTGAAATTCCTCTCTTTTCCCTTTGATTTTCCCCGAGCATGTGGAGCTCTGGTGTCCAGGGAACAGGGCAGGAGGTGTTCTCCTCCCTGTGTTGTCAACACGCACGAAGAAAGATTCCTCACCCTGCACTCCTGGCTCGTAAGTCTGGACACATCTCACACACCCCTGCACCACCCCAACGGGGCCTCGTTTCTCTGTTCTTTCTGCTCTGCCTCCACTGCTGATCTCAGTCCCTGGCTTCATCCCCAACATCACGCGGCACCTAGTTCCCCTTTGATGGTGACCACAGCTTTCCTGCACCCAGTGTTTCCTGTCCAGCTTCCTCATCCCACACCACAGAGGGGATGGCTCCACTGACAGGAAACTGGCCTGGCCTCGACCCTGGCAGTGCAGGATGCTGGCCCTGCTGCTACTGTTTCTGCTGTGCACCCGTGAGTGGGGTGAGGGAGGGGGTTTGGCAGGGCTGGGGGCCAGGCTGCAGCTGAGCGTCTATGTCCCCACAGGGTCGCTGCAGGAGGATCCAGGGTTCCAGCTACGGGTGCAGGGGTCAGTGACGGTGCAGCAGGGCCTGTGTGTGCTGGTGCCCTGCTCTTTCTCCTACCCCTCCCGTGTGTGGTCTTCTTCCGGACAGCTCTTCATCTCCTGGTTCCGAGCCAGGAGCCACATGAACTATGATGATCCTGTGGCCACAAATGACCCAGACTATGAAGTACAGGAAGAGACCAAGGGCCGATTCCAGCTTGTCGGGGAAGTCAAGAGCAGAGACTGCTCCTTGAACATCAGAGGCGCCAGGATGGAGGATGAGGGAAGTTACGCCTTCAAAATAGACACAAGAAAGATAAAATATGCTTACAGAGACAAGAAGCTGAATTTGCAGGTGACAGGTAGGCAGTGACCCAGGAGGGGACCTCGAGTCTTGGATGCCCCAGATGAGAGCAGGAACAGGGTGTTAGACGCTCCGGGGCTCGGTCTTGGGTCTGGGGAGGTCACAGGATTACGGGGCATGGACCCACTCGAGCCCTGAGGAACAGTGACTCTTGGGGTCACACTGTGGTCCCCACGCTGGGCCCAGGCAGCTCTGTCTCCTCCTCAGCCCTGACAGAGAAACCCATCATCCACATCGCTGAGCCTCTGGAGTCCAGCCGCCCCACACAGCTGACCTGCAGCCTGCCAGGATCCTGCGAAGGAGGGCCCCCCCTCACCTTCTCCTGGTCGGGGGACGCCCTGAACTCCATGGACTCTGGGGCCCTGACTTCCTCGGTGCTCACTCTCACCCCTCGGCCCCAGGACCACGACACCAACCTCACCTGCCAGGTGCAACTCGGAGGAGCTCAGGTGACCACGGAGAGGACCATCAGGCTCAGTGTCTCCTGTGAGTGATGGGGGCACCGCTGGGTCCCCAAGACCTGGGGGAGCTGGGTGTGCATGGAGGAGAGAGCTGAGAGGCAGCACCCCCTACCAGGCCCCACAGCCCTCCTCTGGGACTTGCTGCACCCCACGATTCTGCCGTTCACTGACGCAGCCCCGCTTCTCTCTGTCTCCCCACATGCTCCACAAACCCTCCGCATCCACCTCTTCTTCAGAAACAGCTCGGGCAGGAAAGAGCCCGCCCTCTCCGGGCAGTGGGAGCCCCCTCAGCCCACGGGTCCCAGGGCTGGCCCTGCATCACGCCACAGTCTGTGCACACAGACCCGGGAATGCATTGTGGATTTTCCCCGTTCCTTTCCTGTCTTCCCTTCTCCCCTCCTGCCTGTTCCTCTCCGCTCACTTCCTTTCCCTTTCTCTCTTTCCTTCATTCCTTCCTTTCCATTCTTTTCTCCTTCTTCACATTTATTTCCAGTTGGGATGAGATAAATATGGAGAGTTACCGTCTTGGCCCTGCCTGTGAGCACAGCTAAGCAGTGCTGATTCCGTTCCTCTTTCCAGTCACCCTGCAGAGCCTCCTAGTCCTGAGGAAAGGACACTGCACCTGTGGGCCCTGCTCCCGGCGCCACGCCCTCCTCTCTGCCTCTGTGCTGCCGCCTGCCCGGGCCCTGGCCCTCGGCTCTGCTCTCGACTGGGTTTCTCTCTGCCCACCTCCTCTGAAGCCAGTCTCCTGCATCTCTCATCTGATCTCTTCTCCAGGCCCCACACCCCACTGCCCAGCGCCCTCAGTCCTTGCTTCCCTCTTTCCTGAGCCATCGCGCTCCTCTTTACTGCCTGTGCTGATGCCTACCACCACTCACCAGCTACATGCTTTTCCCCTTTTTTGCCCCAGATCTGCACATTTCCCAACCTCCTGCATGGTGCCTCTCCTGCCTGCACGGTCCGAGCGGTGTCCTGGAATCCACTGTGATTAACTCCCTTTCTTGCCAGTGGTGCCCAGACTCAGTGAGTTTCGGAGTCTTCATTTCCAAAATCTCTTCCCTCTTCTCCTTCCCCTTGGTGTGAGCCCTGCCCCAGACTTGTGCCCATACTGGACCACTCCCTGCCTCCTGTCCGGTGTCTCTGATCCGGGCCTGCTTAGCCTCATCAGGGCCTTTCTTTCTTTCTTTCTTTCTTTCTTTCTTTCTTTTTCCTTAAGTTCCTTTGTTGGTACATTTTAGGTGTACAATATATTTACATTTCTCTTTGGCTGCTTGTTCCTGTACACGGTGTATCTTCATTTTCATTTTTTCCCCATTACCTGTGCGCCCCTCACCCCGTCCACCCTTCCCTATTTACACAGACTTTGTTTCCCTTTGTTTTCTTTTCTCGTAATTTTCCCTTTCCCTTCTTTCCTTTCCCCATCGCCTCCCACCACCCCTACCCCTTTGCACCTTTTCCTATTTCAAATTATCAATTACTCATTATTAATCCTTTTAATCCTTATTACACTCTCAGTTTCTCACACTAGAGAAACTATTCGGTATTTACACATGTGTATCCTATTTATTTCACTTAAGACTATGGCCTCAATATGCATCCATTTAGCTATAAATGTCTCTAGTTTTTCATTCTTTATGGCTGAGTAGTTCTCCATTTCAGGAAAGAAACACATCTTCTTTATCCAGTTTCCAATTGATGGCCACTTGGGCTGCTTCCAAGCTTTAGCTATTACAAACTGTGCAACTATAAACATGGGTGCACATATATCACTGTGGTATGATTCTTTTGGTTCTTTGAGGAAGACCCCCAGCAGGGTAATAGCTGGGTCAAATGGGACCTCTAGTCCTAGTTCTTGAGGTTTCTCCATACTGATTTCCACAGTGGTTTCACCAGTCTGCACTCCCACCAACAAGGGAGAAGGGTTCCTTTCTCCCCACACCCCTGCCAGCATTGGTTATTGGTTGATTTCTTGATAGCAGCCATTCTTTATGGGGTGAGGTGGAATCTCAGCATTGCTTTCATTTCCATCTCTGGAATGACCAGTGATGTTGAACATTATTTCCTGTATTTATTTGCCATTTTTACTTCTTTGGGTGAGAAATGTCCGTTCATTTCAGATGCCCATTTTTGAACTGGGTCTTTGAATTTGGGAGGTCTGAATTTTTTCAGTTCTTTATATATTCTAGATAGTAGTCCTTTGTTTGAGGTACAACTGCTAAAATTTTTTCCCACATTGTAGGTTGTCTGTTAGCTCTGTTGGTGGTTTCTCTTGCAGTGCAGAAGCTTTTTAATAAGATGACATCCCAGTTGATTCCTTGTGCTAGTTCCCGTGCTGCTGAGGTTTTGTTCATGAAGTCTTTTCCTATGCCAGTGTCTTCAAGAGTTCTCCCTAACTTATCTTCCAGCAAGTTTAGTGTTGCTGCCCTAAATATTTAAATCTTTACTCCACTTTGATCTTAGTTTAGTGCATGGTGATAGGTATGGGTCTAGTTTTAATCTTTGGCAGGTTGAACTCCAGTTTTTCCCACACTAATTGTTAAATAGGCTATCTTTCCTCCAATGAGGGCGGTTGGCTCCTTTGTCAAACAATGAGGTGGCTGAGTATGTCTGGAGTTGTTTCTCAGCAGCGTCTTTCTGGATCAAGCTTCTGTTTCTATTCACAGCCCCCTGCTGCTCCCCAGAACTCAGAGGACAGAGCCCAATGTCCCAACCCTGACTCTAGAGGCTCGGGAGACCTGGCTGCCTCCTCCTCTCCCATCCCGTGGCCTCTGAGCCGCTGCTTGCACTGCTCGTTGCACCTCTTCCATGTGGGCTCAGTTTCTGGCACAGCTCTCCCCAAGCTGCCCTCACAGTTCTCCTCAATACCTGACAAACCCTCTTTCTGACAGTCTGAGAAGAGCCAGGGTTATTTCCCCTTCAGCTGAGCTGAATCCAGGCTCACCCTCTGCCACATGATCTTGTCTCTGCTGAAGCTCGGTGGAAGAGCAAAGTGACACTTGTCACTCCCACCCGCCTGTGCTGTACATTCCTTGCCAACCCTGAAGATGCTGGGCAATGGCACATCGCTGTCTGACCTGGAGCAATAGTGCCCGTGCCAGGTCTGTGTGGCTGACAACACCCCCACGCCTACCTGAGCTGGTGCTAGAAGTGAAAAGCCCCGAGTCCCTCCCTGGACCTGGGGTCCTGGAGCTGTCCCCTTAGGGGCTGAGGATGGAGGGGACTCACCTGCAGGCTCAGCAGGCGCTGGGCTCTGAGCGCTTTTCCTCAAGCCTCTCTGTGCAGAGTGACTGGCCGAGCAGGAGCTGGGGCCTTGGCCTGGCAGTTTGAGACAGGGAGGTCCTGGGCCTGGCACAGAGCTCCAGCCTCCATTCCCTTCCCCTTCTCTGCACCGGAGTACAGCTGAGCAGCAGTGGGATTCCTGGCCCCTGGTCTTCATGGTGATCAGGGGGATCCTCATGGCGGCTGGCTTCCTCCTCACCTATGGCCTCACCTGGATCTACTACAGCAGGTGAGCAGGCGGTGGCTCCAAGGAGGTCCTGAGGAGTCCTGGGTTCCAGGAGGGGCTGAGTCATCTGCCTGTGTCTCCAGCTAGGGTTCCAGAGGCAACTCTGATCTGAGACCCTCATGACTCTGCAGGTGTGCAGATGCCCAAGGGCCCAGGGCAGAGAGTTCTCCCTGAGCCCCTTCTCCTGGACCTGGGACAGAGGAACGATGCAGAGCTCAGAGGGACAGACTGAGGACAGCAGCTCCTGCCTGGAAACTCTGGACTCGCGCGCTGCTGGCTGCCTGGGTCCTGCCCGACCTGGTCCCCACACTCACCCCATTCCTGTCAGTCCTGCCCTGCTCTGAGCGAGACGGTCCCGTCCCTTCCCTCCCTCCCTCCCTCCTCCTCATTCTCCACCCCCAGCCCCATGACGAGACGAACTTCGCATCCCACTCCCACTCCCAAGATTCCCACGGGAGCCTCTGGCCTCCCGCTCCCTGTTACCGCCGTGGATGCTTACAGCGTCAGGTGCGCAGCTTTTCCTGCTCAGGGAGAGCCCTCCCTCCTTATACCTAGCGTAAGGTGTCCTGGCATTGAGAGATACAGAGATACGGTATTAAACAGTGCACCGCACACACTGACCCCACCATTTCATATCTCTGTGTGGGAGTTTTTCAACATCATCTTACTGTTCTATTTCACTGGCTGTGTTTCAACTAAAATTTGTTGTGTTTAATTTTTTTCCTTTTTTGAGGGGAGGGAATGGAATCCACATGCTGAGCACGTGCTCTACCACTGAGTTGCACCGAGACTTCTCTATTCATTTTGTGACGCACAGGATAAATTCCACACGGAAATCTAAAGGGGACAGCTGGTAGACCTCTGCACATGGACCCACCCTGCCTCCACTCTTCAGCTCAGAGTGGGGATCCATTCCAGCCCTCGTCTCCCACCGTGGGTCTGTTGTCCCCCAGTCCACACACCCCGTGGCGCCACCATTGTCTCCCCATCCATGGGCATCTGTACTCCAGCGACCTGCTCCATATACTTGGAATCAAACCTTATATACGAATCAGTGTTTGGATTCTTGAACTCAACATAGTGTTTCTGGTTTATCCATGTTATTGCTTGTATTTGTAGTTCATGTTTTTGAAAATGCTTTTATTGCTATATGTTTACAACACATAATAATTACATTCATTGATATATTTACATAATGTTAATGCATTAAGAAATCGAGGCACAGTATAATTTTTTTGCTTTACTTGTGATGGAATACACACCCTTCACACTGCACTACAAGCCCAGCATTTATTTATTTATTTACTTACTTACTTACTTACTTATTTAGAAATATGGTCGCACTAAGTTGCTAAGTTGCCCAGGGTGAGCTCAGACTTGCAACCCTCCTACCTCAGCCTCCCAGAGTGCTGGGATTACAGGAGTGCGCCACCACGTCTGTGAGCTGACAATGATATATGCATCGAGTAACTCAAAACCAGCCTGTTTCCAGACCTCCAATGAGGGGACAAAAGGGATGGCTTTTGCAGGACACACACACAAGTAAAGCAAAGAAAACATGTGATTGGATGCAGTTATATCGCTGCTTTATTTGCTCTATCCCACCTGAAAGTACCAAATTATTTAGTCTTTCATAATCCCAAGGTTTTAATTGTACCACCTCATACCCAGGGTGGATGAGATCTTTCTCTTTTTTTTGTTTTTGGTACCAGGGATTGAACTCGGGTCCTTCCGCTTGTGAGGCAGTCAGTGGAACCACTGAACTAAATCCCCGGCCCCCAAATTATTTAGTTATACATGTTTTGGTGCCTCTGACCAGTTGAGATACATCCTGTTTTTCTTTACAAGAAAGAGCTCGAGCTTTCCTCATGTTCCCAAGTCGGGCGAGGTCACTCATGGGGCCCTGCACATCTATCTGCTCTGGAATTCTTTGGGCCAGTTCCACTTTAACTTGCATTCATCGATGGTACTACGGGTCACACCTTTCACAATATCCCATTTTGGTTTGTTATTTTAATATAGGAGTAAAGTTGATTTTTGAAATTTCACAAACCTCTATCAGTATCATGCTCCTTTGAAGCCCACAGATACACCTGGTATCCTTTTATATTTTGGGTGAAATAAAATAGCCTATTGTGTCCTCTCGATGCTTATACCACTGACTTATTTTCAGAGTTTTCTTGCTCTAGGACCTGAGTGAGTGTGCTGTTCACTGAGATGCACTTTGTTATCTCTTAGGGAAATTCTCTTCGGCCCTGGTTAGCCGGCAGTTTCATCCTAGAGGAGCTGGAAGTCACTGTGCTCTCTCTCCTTTTTCACGTCTTGAGACAGAGGCCATCGAGGAGAACAGGAGAACAGAAGCCGCACTATGCCTTTCAGCTGAGGGGATTCATCACACGGATTTGGGATCCTTGTGGAAAGAACGCTTGTAGGATGTAACATAAAGGTGTGAGGAGTTTTTTGCTCTCGTCAGAAGGCTGAGGGAGCAGAGCTCACTCTGCGCTGAGTTTGAAGGAATCCCCGTGCCCAGGCTGAGAACTGCTGCACATCTGCTCATGTGGTTTAGTGCTGGCCGCTCCTATGGAGCCTGGCTGCTTCCTCAACTCCCTTCCCTCCTTCGACCCTGACCCTAACCCTAGCCCAGAATAGCCGTACCCACAAAATCATGGTTCTTTGTCGCCCACCTGAACCCCAGGCAGGGCACAGCCAGGGTTTGTGGAGCCAGATATTCATACTTTTGATGAAGACAAATGCATCCTGAGACTAGTTAACCTGGAAAGGGCGATTCCTGGGAGTCTTGGGGAAAGTGTCCAGGCTGTGCAGTTGGGGAAAGAGACCAGACTCAGCCGAGAACACACTTAGGAGAAGGAGAAGGTTACAGGAAGGCACAGTGTCGCAGGAGGGGCTCCAGTCAGCAGGTGGAGAACTGCTAAGAGTATGGATCAAAGGAGCCGGGGCATTACCGCTAAGGCAACTTGACAGGATACTTGAACACGGCCAAAGCGATCAGGTGTCAATGGCAGGGGTTGGCGAGGTGGGGGCAGGATTCTCTCTAAACTGACTTAGCAGGATACTTTCTACAGCTGCACAGGGTGGGCCCAATGCACCTGGATATAGTTGCCTTGTCCACTTAGAGGACGTTTCCTGCTATATACTAGTTATGTACTACAGCGGTACCCCACATCCCCCCATAGTTACTGAGTGCCAAAAATTAGGAGTATCAAATAGATGGCTTGGGCTGGAAAGAGTAGTGGTCACAAGGCAATTGACGCGTCCGACTTCTAGCTTGTATGTTGAGAACCAGAACAAAATGTTGCTGTCGAAGTGCGTCCAGTACCAAATTGGACCAGTTTCAAAGCTGTCCAGGACCAACCTATGCCTGCTCAGAACCGACTGCCTCAAGTTTGGCCAAGGAAAGTCTTTGTCCCACTTTAGGTAAGAAAAACTATAAAATCCGGCACGCATATGTTTGTTCTCAATTTGAAAATATCACATCAAGCCACTAAACCCAAAATGCTGGAAAATAAGAAAATGTAAGTCCACTAGGAAATAGGATACTAGCTTCATTACTAGCATAGTCTGTCCGCAGAACCGGTCCCTCATCCTTCTCACTGACACCCTTCGGTCACCTTGCTGTAGCTCACACTTGTGTCATGGAATTTCCGTACGAGGAATGGACACCGAAGTCAGGATTTCATTTGGAAGGATCGACTGACGTTCCTCTCCTTCGCACATGGTCAGAAACCCTCTTTATTCCCACAACTCAGTATCAGGAACTCCTAAAATTATTTGAAATCACTGTTCAATTTGAACATAGTGTTATTAATTTCTGTCACAACAGAGCAGGAAGATGAGAGGTTATTTCCACACATTTCTCAAGCCAAGGAAAGGTCAGAAGACTGAGCTCCACATTTTCTGCCAGGGAGGCATCCTTCAGCCCTGTGTCCTCTCAGTACCCTGTGAAATGGGGCGAAGTCCTCCTGCACTATCCGGTCCTGAGTGGCCTGGGCCTCACAGCTGTCCGGGGACACCCCCACGCTCATGGCAGGCACCCTGCAGTGAGGGCTCCATGTTCTGGTCACCCCCACCCCCAGCGCAAGTGATTGGCCAGAGCTCATTAGTGACGTCTTGGCCTCCACCACTTTGAGATGGAAAATCTGTCCTTTCTTAAAAAATTAATTTTATTAGTAGATTTTACGTATACAATATAATAACATTCATCATTGGAAATTTGCACCTTTACATAATCTCTCTTGGTTCTTATTTTTTCCCCCTTCCCCTGCCCTCCCTTCAACCCCCCACCCCTCCCTATT